AAAACACACAGCCAGCCAAACAGCAAGTTTCAGAAGCTTAAACACATCATGTTTTGTTTGTTTTTGTTTTTTGTTTCTGTTTTTTGGTATGGGATCAAACTTGGGGACTTGGACTTGTGAGGTAGGCAGCGGAACCACTGAGCTAAATCCCCAGCCCTGCATCATGTTTTTAAAAGCTGTTTTTGTTGAGAAGTGGGGTAACCACCACCAGACATTCTACTTTGCCCCAGGGTTACAGCTCTAAGAGCTGCATTTTTATATAATTTGATTGAAGACTCAACATTTGTGACTCCTTTAAGTGGCATTTAGTATTTGGATGGGAAATCTTTATTGTTTTTCTATCATAAATAAATATTACAACTTCGTACTGTAAACTGTGCTCACATCGGGCCGCCTTCTCTGATGAACTGCAAAGGAACGCAAACAGGGTGTAGAGCAGGGACGCTGGAGGCCCTAGGCCCACAAAGCCGCAGGTTGCTGCTCACAAAGTGCACCTTGGGCCACAGAAAGAGCTCAGATCTTCAGGCTCCTTGAGGTGGAGAATGAATCTTTTTTTTTTTTCAGGTTGATGTCAACCTGAAGGAGACAGCATAGGCCATAATTCTGGCACACAGCAGGTATCCAGCAAAAGAATTTACTTTCTTTTTTAAAAATCTGCTTTATAAATTCAGATTTCTTTGGTGGGTGTTTTTAAAAGAAGCGACAAATTCAGCCATGTAGGTTTCTTCTCCATGGCGGGAGAGCCTGGCCCTAGGAGGAGATGAGTACAAGTTTGTGGGTTGAATGGGTTGTGGTGTTGGGGGAAAGCTGTTTCCTGCCCCAGGCCTTGTTGGCAGAAGCAGAGTTGGGTTTGGAGGGCTGTGCTGTCCCCAGGCTCCAGCGGCTCACCCGGACAGCTACGACTTCCGGGCTAACGTGCAGGGAGGGTCATTCTCGTGTCAGCATTTGGGCCATTTGGGGCGCGTGCTGTCTTTGGGCCCACCTTCCAGATGTTCGGCGTCATTATAGGCGCCTGGAGTTTATTTGCTCAGGGAGGAAGTAGACATAGCCCGATTAGGAAATCAACAGGTAGCAAAGCAAGTATCCGGCCTACAGCGTGTCCACACGTGTGCAGATACACGTGCATCTGTCTGTGCACATGCAAATGTGTGCATTTTGGGGAGTGGCATCCTGGGGTAAGGAAAAGCATCACGAGAGACACAAAACTGTGACTTTGTGAGTCTGCCGGCCACGTCAGTGTTGGAATCTGGTTCCCAGAGAATCCTGGTCTAAAGAGGGCAAAGTTGTGGCATTTAAGGCTGCGGTTGTCCCAGTTGAGGCAGCCTCGCCAAGTGGTGGTTCTGACCCTGAATTTACAGTCTAGTGAGGCAGCCACAGGCCCATCCTCGAGTACAGGGAGCAGCTCGCTGTGCGTCACGGAGGCTGTGCGGAGCTGGGGGAGATGGGACAGGTCCAGAGCTCGCAGGCGTGGACAGGGAACAAGGGGATGCTGGGTCTCAGTGCAGGCTGCACAGAGGTCTGGCGGCAGCCTCGTCCAGGCAGGGAGATCAAAGAGCTCTTGCTGGATTCCAGACGAGGCGCACATCCTTGGGGAGCCAGGTGCTGCTGTGGCCAAGGACTTTGCAGCTTGCCTGGCTGGCTTTCAGATCCGTGGTTGAGAACAGACATGTGGAAATGATTAGAAAGCTATGATGCTTGGGAAAAATGTAGACATCAGTGACACGAAAGGAAAACACTAAAGTGCTCGCAAATGGAAGGTGCCTGTCGCTGTGGCTGATGTGCAGGGTGGACTCTGAGCAGCCCGAGTTTGCTGCTTGGGAGACCCTGCCTGTGAGCCTGCTTCCCCATCCTCACCAGTGCTGTGCACCTCAGGTGCACCCTTAGGAAGGACACGGCTTTCCTGAGTCAGAGGTTCCCTAAACTGAGGGTTCCACAGGGCTCCTGGAGGAAGGCGAGTGTGTGTGTGTGTGTGTGTGTGTGTGCACCCAGATACATAGTGGAGGTGTGAAGGACCCACGCTAGAGGCTGGTTGTCCATCTTTGAAAAGTTGTACTCTCCCTGAATCTAAGAATGTTCATCCATAAATGGAAATATTATTATGAGGACTCAACACAGGAACAAGTGGATTAGTGCATCGCTTGGCACATAGTAAGTACTCAGTACATTTCACCTGTGACCGTTGTTATTTTGGGGCACACGCTGATGTAAGATGGGTTCAGGGTATAGTTAGAACAGAAATAAGGTCTTCTTGGGGGGCACACTCACTCACACTGCTGTCCACAGTGCTGAACTAGCCTAGGGCTAAGCTTGGCCTTGCTCCTCGCCCAGGCCATGGCACCCAGCTGTCCAACTTCTCCCAGGGGGTTCTCAGTCAGGAATGTTGAAATGGCCAAGGCAGAAGAGAAGCAAACTGCTGGCAACTTTTGGATGTCATTGAGACATTTCTAGGGAGGGAAAAGGGACATTTAGTCTCTTTTAGGTATTTATGCTATGGAAGAATAAATCCGAATTATGTGACTGAATTAACTGATGAAAGTTGAGTGTGTGTGGTATGCTGGATGCTGGTCAAGGGGTAGGGCAGCGAATGTATAAGAGCAGCTGGCAAAGCCGAGAGCAGCAGGCATTAAGTGAGGTATCATCAGCTGAGTTAAAACTATTTTGGTAGGTATTTAAAATTTTTGGTTCAATAAAATATTTGGAATTTTTACTCCACCAAAGAATAAATAAACCCATTGCTTTCCAATCTGTGGCCAATTTGATCATACTGAATATCCAAACACATTTTCTGAGTGTAATACTTTTTTTGCGAGTATGGACAGTTTGAAGGGTAGGTATCTTCCTCACATTCTTTTTCTTGGGTGTGTTGGTGATGATTATAGATAATATTCTCTGGGTCTTCTTTCCTTTTTATCTCTTCTAACCTGTCCCCTCAGGTCTTCTCACTCTTTCACCTATCCATCCATCCACCACCCACCCATCCGTCAATAATCAAGCGTGCAATGCATATTAAATGCTGTGGTGCTCTGTACTATGCTTTGCATCAAAACATTATCTTTTCTAATCTGCCTTTGGTCATGGTAAGCTGTTCTCTGTCCTGGGCATCCCAAGTCAGCAGGGTGTGTGTTCATTCTCATTCAACACTTGCCAAACACTCATTGCAGATATGGCTGCAGGTAGTGGGATCACAGCGGTAAACACTACTGTCTAGTGTCTGGAAAAAAGCTGGTGATTGGCTCCCTATGTATTCTGTAGGCCCTCTATTCTCCATAAAAGCAGAGGTTCTGTTTGTTTTACTACTGCACATATCTGTGGTACACCATGACTACTTTCACTGTGGGGAGTTGGGGCAGGATGATGCATCTCGGTTCTTTTTATATCCCCTTCCCCTTGCCCACACCTCACTGTTTCTCAGTCCCTTTCCAGTTTGCCAAAGATCTATCTATTATTTTGGTTTATGTATACTTTGGGATTTTCATGTAAGAGAAATCATACACTTTTAAAAACTTGTCTGTCTGATTTATTTCCCTTAACATTATGGAAATCATGTCATGTCTGTTTTTTGCTCACTATTCTCTGAATAGTTTCCCATTTCTTTTTCTTTTTAAATTTTCTTTCTCTTTTTTTTTTTTTGAGACAGGGTCTCACTATGAAGTTCAGACTGACCTGGAACTCACTATGTAGCCCAGGCTGGTCTTGAACTCACAGTGATCCTCCTGCCACAGCCTCCCAAGTGCTGGGATTAAAGGAATGAGCCACCATGCCCGGCAGTTTCCCATTTCATTTAGTTGGGGAGTAGTGGTGGAGGTAATGAGAAGATGTTATATTCTGTATATTCTCTCTGTACATTCAAAGATAGAGCCCACTGAAATTGCCGACAAATTAGACAAAGGGTGAAAAAGAGTCATAATATCTTCAATGATTTTTGTCCTTGTCCACTGAAAAAGCAAGTTGCCAATTGCTAAGTTGGAGGAGACTGAGATTTACTGGTGAAAATCCCAAATCTGATTCTGGACAAGACTAATTTCCGTTGTCTGTTTAGTATTTAAATGGAAATCAAGTTCAGACTGAAAATACACATTTTGGAATCAGTAGTTTAAAAAATGTGCTTAAAATCACAAGCCTGCAGAAGATTGCCAGTACACAGAGAATAAAAGTCCACTGTCCTGTTTTGGAGCACTCATTAGACGTTGAGAAGATGAGGAGACTTGGAAAGGTACCTGACTAGGAGACGGTGATTAATTTGGAGGAGGGCCAAGGGGGTTTGCTAAAGGAAAAGATATTGGAACGAGGAGGCGTGGACTAAGGCTAAAAATGACTCCTGGAAGTCATAAGAGGTCTTGAAAAGGCATTTTAGAATAACAGTGAAATCAAAATCCTGACTAAAATGTCCAAAGGAGAACTAGGTGGAAAAGAGGTCTAAGTAATGACAACTCTCTCAGGGTAACATATGATTTGCAAAGGCTGGCCATCAGTAATTCATAATTTTGTTATTGCTATGTTTTTCTAACACAGAAGTGTTTTCCAAATACTGCATTTGCTTAAAGAGAACCTGACATGAGGTATGGTATTTCTCTAAACCGGCTACGAGTCAGGTGTGGCGATGTGCACCTATGATCCCAGCACTCTAGGAAGCTGAGGGAGAGGGGTAGCAAGTTCAAGCTAAGCCTGAATGCCTTAGTAAGACCCTGTCTCAAAATAGAATTATAATTATAATAATAAAAGAAACTAGGGATGTAGCTCAGTGCAAAGACCTTTCGTGCAGTGCCCCGTACTGGATAAGCAACAACAATAACAAAACCAAAACAAAACAAAAAACCAACAGGGAAAACAAAATTTTAAAATAAACTAGAAATTTATTGAATCAGCCAATGGGTGCATCTCTCCCAGCCTCTCTAAAAGCAGCTCAGGGCTTTTTTTTTTTTTTTTTTTTTTT